ATTGTTTCCATTTCCTTTCCTCCGTTTTGTTCGCGGAAACGGAAAACAATAAAAAATAACGCGAATGTGAATTGATGCGCCCAAGTGGAATAGCCCTGCCACGAATCAGACATTTCCATTAAACTTTCATTTCTATTAAATCGTGGCAGAAATCTAACGGGGGGGACAAAAAGCTGTATTCGCCGGAAAGTTCCGTTCTAATTAACGAAATTAAATGCAAATTGTACGCGGCGAGGTGACAGTTTCGAATGACCGGACGTTTCAATGAAAGTTCAGTTTTTATAATGAAAGAAGTTCCAGCAACTTTAGATTCACTTGTGGAATTTTGATTAGCAGAATTTACCGAAGCAAAGTACATTTCTATACAACGACGTATGATTGCACGACGTAAATTATTGTACTGTGTAACATGTTGGAAATGGGACCCGATTGCGGTACGGGGCATCATTTAACCCTTCGGGAGCGTGGAAGGATCGTAGCTCGAGGTGGATGGTTGAAGTGGAAATGGTGAAGTTTGAGAGGAAACTTGTGGAAATTTGGTAAATGTAGGCTGATGGAATGATCAGTTCCCTTTGAGTAATTCAGGGTTCGAAGCGTTCGTGTTGTGAATTTTTTGGGTTTGTGATAGATAAGTCTATCGGTAGAAGGGGAACGTCGTAGGGGTACGTTCGAGAACAGTCCTAATTGGCGGAGAGAAGAAACGCCCTCGTCAAGGGAAGGTTTAAAACGGATAGCTTGTGGAAAAATAGTGTGTGTGGGAAACGAACTTTGCGTGAGAAAAGTATATTGAAGGAGCGTTGTTGAAAATAGGACTCGTGTCCGTGTAGAATACATTATTAATTATTTATTAGAATTAAAACTGTCTCGTCTCTCGCCTTTATCATCTGATTCCGACAAACCTCTCTCCATCCCAGACTCGCCTACACTATAAAACTTTATATATATTACAGAGGAAGTCTGTTAATGCGTTTCTTTTCTTCGATCCCACCTCTCACGGTTAAATCCGTCGTTGAGTTACAACATAACATAGACATGAAATCCCGCGATTTAATATGAAGTCATTGGAAGTAGAAATTTCCAATTATAAATTTCCCTTGTCACATTTCAATCGCAGAACGAATAAAAATTTAATTAGACGTCTGACTTATCACAGGACAATTCTACTTAACTTTTTCTTCCACCTTACGCAATATCTTTTCCCTGCTATATCATCGCCTATTATTTTTTCCCTGTCATCTGACGCACAATTAAATTCAATAAAACATCCAATTTCAGCGAAGAAAACTACAGTCGTAATGTCGAGGGTTCGGTAAAGTATTCTTCTATGAAAATCAAGAGTAACCTCTCTCACCTCTCTTGAAACGATTACCGTAGTCGCTGCATGCAATTAAGCCGGCGGATTGTTTATTCTCAGATGTTAGACGTGCATACGCAAACATAATTTCCCAAGATTAACCGAGAACTGTTTTCTAAACGCGTTCAACCTCTCTCCGCCCCCCAGCCAGAAAGATAACAATCTCTCCACTGTTCGGCTTAACAATCCAGAGTTTTAAACTCATTTCGAAGTTTATTCCATGCAGTGGCGTGTATGCGTGCTCGTGGCGATTCATATTCGTGTTGGAGCTCGTTCAGCCGGAAGTCGAGGCAGCTAGAGGCCACCGTCAAACCGGATGCAGCGTCTCTCTACTAGACTGGCGTGGCTGTTTCCGTTTCTGGTTCGGTTTCACAATGAGGAAGGAGGAAGATTTACGGGAGCGATGATATTCCAATTATTAGCCATCGATACGATCCGTGAGCAAGGGACTCGTGCAGCAGCCAGTCGCTGGTGGTCATTAGGCTAACTGAAATCGCGACGGTGAATGGGAACGATAATCGTCGTTCACTGTGACGCGTTGCGCTCCTGTGAACCGCCCAACACACCATGAACCAGAGGAGAATTGTTCGAGGTCAAAATTTCTTCGTTTGTTTAGAGTGGGCAAGGAGGTTCGAGTGGTTTTTGTGTGATGAGAGCATCATTGTAGCAGACGTACCGGTTTTTCCAATGTTGTGCGAATATTTAAGTGGAAATTTTGGAAACTTGTTGTTTTCTGGGGAATGTTACACGTAAGTCAGCGTTTAGCATGTTTCGCTGAGATATTTTCGTTAGAAATTTCGTACACTGTTTGTCTGACTGTACGTAGTTACTCTACAATACTTGCCGGCGTTCAAATATTGTCTGTTATATGGCGGATGTCTGACCACACGGTGCGCTATACTACTTGCTAGCGCATTGATGTTTACAGTGGCAATTAACGAACGAATTATTGAACTTAAGGAAAGAAATCACTGACTGTTTATGTGATCAAGTAAACTAAGAAGAAGTAGTACTAATACGGAATAAAGTTTTATTATACAGGGTTTAGTATCTTTTACCTTTTCAATGTTGTGCGAAGTGTTTGAAGCATAATTTCAATTGTTTCGAAGCAGAAATGCCTTGGAAGAAGAAAACTTTCTTTCAAGGTTGCTTTTTCAAAGATTTTTCGAGGGCACCGGTACTTTTTTGCAGGAGAGCACGTACTTCTTTCTATTGAGTTCTTCTACTGAATTTTCTATTCAACACCTACATCGAATTTTTCTTTCTTTTATTTTCTACAACTTTTT